GAGCAAGTGAAAGTTTTGGATATGAACTGCAAAATACACTTCAGATAAGAGGACTGCTGGTAAGGCACGGACACAAACTCTTAATGTTCAGATATAACATGAATGTGTGTGTGCAGAGATTACTGTTTCATAGACAGTTTTATTAGAAGTGCACAAGCATATCCAAGGACATTTTGGAATTTATTTGACTGCATAATACCTTTATTTCAGTGCACATTCTGTTTAATCTTACAAAATCAGCTCCCATTGGAAGAATAAAATTAAATGCATATTTAAATTAAACATTCTAGGACTTAAGAAATATTTGTATCTTGATTTATTTTGTTCTTACTTCTGTTTCTCTTCATATTTAGATCCCAGCTTTCTAAAAATGAGGTTGAATTTCAGACTCCATTTCATTATTCAGAAGTATTTTTAAGAGATTTGAGACTGATCTGATTAATCTCTGAGCACTCAGAAAAAGGATGGTTCAGCTTCAACCTGTTTTTATTCATTTGCCATGAACACATTGTTTTCAGTAGGATGTTCATAAATATACAGGCAGCTTCAAGGATGGTGGGCAGACTACTATACTCTGCCTATTAAACTGGTGACAACTATTAACACAATTTATTTATGTTTATTTTAAAATTTTAAGTAATGGGCTTACTAAACTAAACTCAAGCAAACGTGATCTCTCTGCATACTGCACATGTCTTGATGCTCTGAATTTGTTTGTACAGCTGTGAAATTCTCAAATTAGCTATCTGTCAGAAAAAGTAAAATACTGCCAGAAGAGCATGGAGATGAAATCCAAGCCAATGGGAGAAAATTACAAAATGGCATCCTGTGACATGAATCACCTCTATGGGATAACTGCTGCTATAATAATAAGTCTGTGCTTTCTAGACAGTAGATCATTAGTAGCAGCAGCACAGGTAGTTCCAGCAACTTACTACCATACAAATCTTCAGCATTTACTAAGATGGATGTCAGTCATCTCCTTGTCACTTTATAAATGTACATGATTAGATTTATTTATGACTGTAAAAATCTCCAAAAAGTGGAAAAAATTACTTCTTGAAAAATATATCATGCAGTCATACCAGTCTAATACTGACCTGCCTGCTTAAAATTTCCATTTGCATTTAAAACTCAAAGTTTTGTCTGTCTGAAGCAATGGATCAGATACAAGACCAATGTTTTCAGAACCATCAGTTTTTGAATCATGGTAGAACACTGTCTGCTGGGATTTGCACAAGAACCTAGCACCTAACATCCTGAACAGCTGTTACATGTTTCATCTTTAGAAACTAAAATTATTTTAATAACTTATTACTCAAGGATTAACAAATCACACACCAAAAGGTTAGGGAATTAGACTCGTGGAGGACACATTTGGAGTATTATGACATCCCAAAGTGGTTTTTATGTCATTAAGCTTGGAAGGGCAATGAGCAAATACTGTGTAAATGGCACCAGAGGCTGCCAAACTCCAATGCTCTCAATGACACATCACTCCCCTGGATAACAGATACCAAAGCAGAAGGTGACTCAGGTGCTATTTTTAGCTGCAGGGATTCAGTCCTGAGGAGGCATCTTTATACAGAAAAAGAAAACACAAATTTGATTTTAAATCATTTCTTTGTAGTTCGACCCTTGTGGAAGATCCACTTCAGTATTGTACATCGTTTAATCATCTTTTCAGTTTCTTAAAACTTTATTCCCAAATCTCATTACCAGTAGTTTCCCAACTCTATGAAAAACATCTCCAGAATCCACAAGTGTCTCCACATGACACAAAAAGAAAGTGTTCACATAATACAACCATCTTCCTTCCAGATTTGGAAAAATGTGATATTTTGGGAGGCACAACATTTTTTTGTTAATGCTTTCCTGGCTTATTCCACACTCAAAAAGGCTGACACTGACCTAGTGTGTTCCTGAAAGCTGAAGAAGATTCAGTTCTCCCTCAGAAGAAAGGGAGTGATACAGTTCTGTTAAGAAACCAACTGTAAAAGTGACAGTGACTAGATATACATCACAAAGGCAGTTAACCCAGCAGCAATAGGATTTAACCTCTGCCATTCTGTAGAGTCTTGCAATATGAACTGAAGGAATTAGAGCAAACAACTGAGGAGTCAGTGTGTGTAATATTAGTTTTTAATGCCTTTTTACATGTGTTGCTACAGCTGCTAAACTGCCCAAACAGCCCCAAAGAGCTGCAGAAGTGAATTCAAGATTGGTAGTACATATCAAGCAGAACAGGATCTACCATGTTCATCTAAGGCAAAAGTAAACCCAAAATATTTTGTGAAGCTTTGCCATCTATGAAGTAGTTCACATAGAAGGAAAAACTTCATTTATGAAAATAGACCAAATCTTCAAGCTTGCAGAGGGACTTTGTACGATTACACACAAACACACACACCCATTATCTACAGCCTTATCCTGTCTCCCTTTCTCAGCTGCAACCTGGTGCTGCCTGTAAGCTGATTCTTCTGGCAGACACTCATTTTATATCAGTCTGCTTCTATCTGAAAAAATTAAAGGTCCCATACAGGAATAGGAAAGCACTTTATCTATTTTGATAGAGGCTGAACTCTGTAAAAGTCAGCAGCTTCCTCCAGCTGTGTGAAGTCACCAGGGCACCTGGGTGAAAGACCATCATGTTTCTGTTTTCATGTGCACAGAGAAATGGCCAAATGGCTTCAAAATTCCACATGTATTATTAACAGAGTGCATAATTATGATTTAGGGGAGGATTGTGGAATTCTTACTATGCTAAATTGCATACAGTGTAATCATATTATAAATTTCCTTGGCACCACAAGTCAGATTTTCCAATGTGTAGGCTAGTCCTATTGCCTAGGACTGCTACACAGGGAATTAAAATCTGAAAGGATGAATAGCTCCCTAATAGTCTAGAATAACACCAATCTATTACTCTGCCATTTCTTTGAATTCTTAGTACATTAAGTATGAAATAATATACATTGAGAAAATGGCAGTGGAGCAGAATTCTTTCCCATACCAGTTTGACAAATAAAAGACCAACAAATCTAAGTAATTACAACATATGGGACTACAAATGTCTAATTGGCTCCTAATGCAACTTAGGTTCAAGAAAAGGGAATCACCTAATTCAAATAAAGAAGGCCATATTCTTAGCTGAGGAAGTTAATACAAGAAAAGAGGTCTATCTATTTTCAGTGGCAAAACACAGAAGTACTAAATATTGGTACATTTCTGGATTATCTTTCCAAATAGTAGCTCTCTCAAAATAAGACACCATCAGACAAAACTCTGATGACAGAAGAAGAAAAAACAAACAAACAAAAAAGCCCACTCAAAACCAAAGCACAACTAACAAAACAACCAAAACCACCAAAAGCAGTAGTTAGATATCTAACAAAAACATATGGTTTGAATTTCTGAATATTTACTAGAACTTTGTAGTACAATTTGTAACTATTATTTTTCCTGAAAATTTGGTATTAAATAGCCATTAAATATAGCTTTCTGAGATGTTAGTCTGTAAAACAATGCTTTACACTTGTGATTTATTTGATTTTCTAGTACACAAGCTGGGCAAGATATGGCAAAGGAACATTTTAGAACTATGTAGCCAAGTTTACTTTCAATAGTTTTTGTCACTATTGGTACCTTCGGTTTGTTAGTTAAGGGGGGAAAAAAAAAAAACAACAAAACCCCCCAAACTTTCTGCCTAGTTAGTTCCTAGGCTCAATCAAAAAAGCTGCCATAAATGTCTTCTCAACTTGGGAGCTATCATGTCACTAACAGGCCACTGTTTAGGTGAAGACAAGCTGGACCATATTATGAAGAGGAACTCTGAAGTCATACAGTACTTCTACTAACCAAAACCTCATTTTAATTTGAAATATGAGTTCCAGCTGCCTTTTCTGCCTTTCTGGAGGAAGGCTTCCTTCTCTACTTATCTTTCTTCCCAGCTATCTCTTCCTTTTCCATCACAAAAAAAAATAAAAAAAGGCAAGAAAACTCATGTCCCCCTGCAACCCTTCAGACACAGAAGGTTAAAAATAATTCAATAAATTAAATCTGCCTTCTTCCAGACAATTTCTTCTGCAACAACAATTATGAGCTTGGAACCAAGAAAAACAACATGCAGCTGCAGCTGAAACAAGTCTGTCAGTTCTCAAAACTGTTGATAAAATTTATACTGTGTCCTAATTTCTGCTACAGACGAGTTATGAAAACTAGAAGAAGAATAGAAGATGCATTACGTGATTTCAGATTTCTTTTTATCTGCTGGGTATTTGCCTGGTTTGGCTTTCAAGGAAGATGTTTCTGAATGCAAGAAGGAAAAAAAAAGTTTCATAATCATGGCATTAATTGTGTCAACAATTTAACTCCTCCCAGAAGGAAACTTGCTGCACTCTTGAGTTCCTAGCAGTAAGAGTGTTCTATGAAAATAATTTGAATTAAAGGGAGGTTACCATCAAGCATGATCTTAACTGGATCTTTACAAAGCTCTTCGGCATCTTCTGAGGGTTCACATTTTCCACGTCATCCCTGCAACTCTTCACTGAACCCCTTCCCATACACCAACAGGAGCTTTAAACTCAAGGCACCAAAACTAACTATGGAATTTTATTAGTGGCCTCCCCAGAGCTGTTTATGGAGGAAAAGGCACCTCCCACAGCTACTTCATATTCCCCTTACAAATAAATACAAGGGTCACATTTTGACTACTAGCTCCCACATCACACTGCTAGATCTTGTTCTATGTCTTATCCTCCATGTTATGAGTAATTTCTTTTGAGTAACTGCCTCTCACAGTTACATTAATTACCAAAGAAGTATTAATTGCTCCAATTTTATATTGTATTTTTTTTTTTCTACACAGAGCAATTACCTCTTTGGTCATTTGCAGAGCCTCCACAAATGAATTCTCTCAACTGTGCAGAAAAGTTAGCACCAAAACAGTCAAGATACCTCAGATATTGATAATACATGCTAGAACGTTTACCCACACTTACTTTGCCAGGCTTGTTTGCATCAAAGCTGTTTTCTTTAAATTTCTCCTGCAGGGTCTCAGCTAACCGACAAAGCAAGGCACCATTATCCAGCTTCTCCATAAAGGTTTCTGCTGTTATTTCTCTACCTGAACAGCAAACAGAAAGTTAACATGGCAGAAAGTGTGCAATATTATAGGCTGTCATTGTGCAAAAAGAGAAATCGATAGAAATCTTGACAACAATTTGAAATGTGCTTCAACTGAAAAAAAGCTTGCATTACTTGGAATATTTAGGGGACAACCAGTACTACTTTGCTGGTAGACATACTACAAATTATTCAAAACCCCCACACTTTCTTTGGGAAGCCGTATACTATTTGAAAAATAATTCTGGCATATCAGATGCCACAGATCCTGTTTTACTTATGAAATTCCAATGCTTTTAACATAGTATTTTAAAAAACAGAGTACAGCAGGAGAATTATTTACCCCAGTGTGCATGGATAGATATAGTGTAAGAGCTGCTAACACTACTGCAGCTTATTTTATAACACAAGTAGAAAAACATGTCAACCACGGGTTTTTTTTTTAGTGAGAGCTTAAGACTTGGTCCTGCAAGAAGCTGACAACATACTACAATGACTCCAATGCTCCTTTGAAAGAGCTTTTTCAAAACTATAGTTAGGTACATTAAAAAAAAAAGGGAGAGACTGAAATTTCATGTTATACATCTATTTGTCATGCAGATTAAAATTTGCACCCAAAGAACAAAGTCAAAATACTTTTATTTCAAAATATCATTTTCAGTATCAATTATTATCACACCAGATGATGTTGTACTTCAGCTGCCACAGATGGTCCTCCCTGGCTAGAGCAGACCAGAGGACCTCCCATTACACCACAGTCATATCCTCCAGGCAGGGGAGATCACAAGAGTCCCACACTGAGATGTGCAATCTGACCAGGCTGGATAGGCCAGATGAGAAGGGAGTCATGTACCACTGTAGACTAAAATCCCAGGATCTTAACATCATTTTCTGGTAAAAATATTGATATTGAAGGTTTTCCTTTTTCACATTTCTACTGGGAAACTTGCCTTCTCTTGGGACACCTATTTGACCAGCAGCTGTATTTTTCAGCCCTCTTGACTTCTAGTAGCATCAAGAGGAATATCAAGCACTAACTTTTACTCTTCCTGTTAAGGCAGCATTTATCTACTGTTGGTGATATTTATGCGTGTCATTTGGGGACAGGAATAACACCATCAACTCATTTTTCATAGGCTGTTACACAGCAGTTATCACTAACAACACACTGCCAAAAAAAATTCAATACCAGATCCACTCCTGCTGCTCAAAAGCAGCTTGTTTGCAAGCAGAGCAACAGGTGGAATTCTGCCCACTGCTGGTCAGGGGGTTTTGCGACAGATTTTGGACCAACAAGCAGCTGCCTGACTAAATTAGGGTTGGGGTTTCTTTGTCTTTCTAGTTAGTCTGGGAAAATTTATTTTCCATGAGATGTCTGGAAACTGGAAGCATTAATTTGTTTGGAACAGGTTCACAACGTTATTTGGCAAAACACCCCAGGAGAAGTAAATTCAGAAAAAAAGTAGTAAAGCTTTTCTATACCTTTTTACTCAGAAGAGAAAACTAACATTCAAAAGTAACAAAAATGAAATAGATAATAAAAAATTAATATTGTACTTCTGCAATATATTGCTGGTACATTGTAATCAGTCATAACACTGATGATAGCAGTGTTATAAAGCAATATGATTACAAAAAGGGTAGAGGAAAGCTGATTTCTCTAGGCTCTTGACTGACAACTGTTAGATACTTCAGCATCCTTTGGGTAAAATATTACAACTCTTCAGTTTGGTCAGTTAAAAATCAAAGAGTAAGATAAAGACCTTTGCAGCAAACCATCTTCAGATACAATAGCAGATTTATATTTTTGCTTAAAGTTAAACTTGAGTTTTCCAACACATTTCTATTTCAGAAATAGCCTTTTAATGTGGAGGTTTTTTGCCTCTTTTTATTCTCCCTTAATTCTCTCTGCCATATAGCCCACGTTAAAGCTCCTGTATACCCAAATGACTTCTCCAGGCAAAAGAGCAGTAGCAGCACTGCAGACATTCAGTGGTAGCTTGTGTATAACTGACAATATTTTAGCATTGCCTCCAGGTCAGCTGAAAGCCCAGACTGAAATTATAATAGCCCACAGACACAAAAATTGAACATTTCAAAAGTCTTCATCACCATTCTAGCCTACATATTTTCCCATTTGCCCTATCAGCATTTTTGGCAAGAGGTATAAAGCCATTAGAAAGCTAAATTTGAAAAATAAGATTATGTTATAGGAACTGATTTGTTTTTAATAGAGTATTGCATTTTACAATAGACTCATTTTCTTCTACAACAAAATTATTAACAATATTTTTAACGTACTCAACATCTTTATTTTGGAAAGCACAACTTTTCACACAGGTAGAAGAAAAATCACATTCTACGTATTCATTCTGTCCCATGATTTACAGATTTATTACCTCACTAGTTGAACAGTAAGAAACCTAAATCCTATTTAGAAGTATTTACTCTTTACAAAGACTTGGAAAAATTCTTCTATCTTTTCCTGCTATTTAGCAATATGTTTCTATTATTTTAAATACTTAATTACATTAGCAGTTTGGTCACTGTATATTGTACACTAAGCTGGAGTATTTTAGTTCTGTTCCCTTTTATGAAAGCTGAAAGAATGAGTTTTGCATTGAACATCTGTATCCAATGAAAAATATATTAGGTGTCAGCTTTCAATTCACTGTATTTTATGGCTCCAAAAGGTGGCATTTCTTTGCTAAAACAGACACTCTGACATATTTAACAGTTGAAATGTATTGATTCAAATGAGAGTAATGTTCATAGCCTGAGGGAAAAAAAGGCCTCTGTATATTTTTATGGAAAAAACATTAAACTCCATTAAAAATGTATAACTCCCCCTATAATTACAAGAAAGCAGTTGCAATGTTTTTATAGAATGGTAATAACATTAAGTATCATAAAAAAGCAACGCTAAAATTATGAAAAGAAAAATAAAAGCAGGAACATGAAGGCTTTCTCAACCCTCAGAAGCACTGCTTGCCCTCTCCCACAGTCACCAGCTGCCCCTTGGAAAGACAAACTGCTGTACCTGCCACCTACCACTGGAAGCTGTGGGCAGTTATCTGTGAGGCCACCCAGTCCTGAGGGTCCTAATGCAACCAGACTGGGAGGCCTATGGAAGAACAACTACAAAGAGCTCAAGCCCAGGGTGTGTGCCCAAGAGTCAAAGCCGCATCATTCCCTAGGGGCTGTCTCAGACAACCAGAGCCTTCAGCATGCAGTGGAGGGACTCAAAGACTACAATGAAGTACCAGAATCTGGTTGGTTCCTGTAGTATTGCACTTCCCTCCACAGATAATTTAATAACCACAGTGCAAGACATGGGCTCCACCCTCACAACTAACTGACCGATTTTTTCAATTGTACATTCCAGTTGTAACACACAACCACTAGTTTATAAACAGAAACACATTGGTCAAAGGATGAGCTTCTACAATACTGAGGCACCAGTCTGATCCTGTCAAACAGAGTGGCACTTAAACCCAAGTTAGCAAAATGCAATCAAAATAAAGTAAAGAAAGGTCAGTGGTTTTACACACATGCAACACTGGTTGTTTTCCAACAAGGCTACTCTGTTTCCTGCAACAGCTGGCAGCACGAGAAATAGTTTTGATAGCATTCGGACATTATCACTTACTTGAAATGGGACATATAAACAATCCCAAAGGAATGTTGATACTAAAGAAAATTATAAAGCCACTCAAATTAGAGACTGCACCAGTTCCAGCAGAATCACTAGAAGTACCAGCATCGTGAATGTTTTCCCATTCAGATACTTCAAACTTGCTTTTCACACTGGCTTGAGGTGAACACACTGATGCTGAAAATAAAGGTACTGCTACAGAATCCTCTTAGACAGCAAGATGAGCAGGAACACCGAACTGAAGCAGGTTTTGCTTTAACTCAGAACCTAAGACAGACAGTTGTCTTGCAGAAGACTTCCCACCCTTCATCCCCCAAACTTTATGCCTCTCAAATACACCTTTAAATTTCAAGCCTGGTCTCCAACTCAATGCCTCACCTAACATCCTCACCTCTCTGTCCTTTTCTCCAAGCCTACTTCATTTTTGCACCCAAGAAAATTTTACATGCCTCATACAAGAGTCAATGATTACATGTCCAGTTCCTCAGCATCTTGCATTCTCCATCTCCTTATCTATGAGCTTCTGAAGTCCAGAAAGCTCTGTTAGGAAGAGGCTTCAGCACTGAAACCTTGGAGCCTTGACACGTGCCCAGGGCATATCTCACAGGTCTGTTCCATAGTCCCGTGTGCTAAATGATCCTGGATGGAGTAAGTGACAATATAACCCTGTGCAGCTGGTAAATGAGCTCTGGGAATGGGAAAAAAAGATCAGAGCTCTACACAAAAGTCAAAGGTGAAAAACAGAAACCAGCCCTCTATACCTGTCCTAAACAACAGGCTGGTGATGAAGTCCACTCCTCCTGATGTCAGCCCTTCCACTTCTGCAGACACTCAAGAGAAAACACGACAATACTGGAGAGTACAGCAGACAAACAAATCTCTTTGCTTCCAAATTGCCACTGCTAGTTTATTCCTATGGCCCAACTGTGCTAATTCACACAGAAGTTTTCGGTATCCATAAGAGCATTCAACTAAAATAAGTGGTGTCAGCACTGAAAGTATTGCCAAGTGCTTCACTGGCTCTATACACAATAAAAACAAGGCTAAGAGATGATCGTTTGCAAGACAATTGGGTCAACACATCTCCTTGACTTTGCCACTGCAAGGATCTCTCAGCTGAGCCACCAGAGGGAAGTGAGGGTGACAACGTCCATAGCTCCAATCTTCCTCTGAAGCACGCAAGCCCCAACCCCTGCAATGCTGACGTGTTCCACTTTTGAGAATGCTATCATGTGCAACCTTGAATGAGTTAATCTCAGCTGACACATCGGTTTCATCTGCAATGTCCTTTTTCCAGCCCCCAGAATACAGGCAGCTAAGACCTATTCAGCAATGGAGCTGTAATGACAAACTGTACACCCAGCAGCTCTGCGTTTCTCTGACATGGTTCCAAAAATAATTAGCAAAATGCACACGTAAGTACTAGTGATTACTAAAACAAACCACAAAAACCCACCACAATGTCCATGCTAAATTAGAATATGCCCAGTGTCTCAGAGTAAAAAATTTTTGCAGCATTGTTTTCCAGCTGTGCCATATATCTCGGTCTTCCAATTTATCACTTTGGTAAAGTCAAATTTTAGCTTCAAACCCTTTCATTCATATTATAAAGAGCAATATCCTTCTCATGTTTTCCAGTGTGTAATTTTGAACCCACAATGGATTTTACTGCTGAAAAACTGTCACTATTTAACCTCCATTAACACTGTGTAGGACACATGTGACTCTCCACAAAAACCACCAAAACCACCACGAGTTGATCAAGCTAACTTAAAAAGGTTTGGTCCTATTCTTGCATAAAATACTTTCTATCTTTTCTGGTTTCTTTTTAATCTACATTTATTTGAAAAAAATGTGTCCATGTTGAGTCATAGTACAAATAACTGACTAAAATATGGATGAAACAAAAGATGGACCAAACATGGCCAAAATCAAAATGCATATTCATTTTCTTTATAAATTGAGAAATCCTGTTACATTAAAACTGACATAAAGACACCTACAATAAGGCCACCCAAGTTAGAGCACAGAGCAAACTAAGGGATAACACAGAATATTATCAGCTCTGTGTTATCTGCACATCCATGCATGTGAAAATCTACTGACCATCAATGCAAAGTACATTATTTTTAACATGGAGGGGAAAAAACCCAACATAACAAAACAAACAAAAAAAACCCCTCTTGCACATCCTTTCAGGCTTTTGGATGCTGAAAAGTGAGAGTACAAACAAGTTTTTAAAAGGTAGCAGCATGCTATAAATTCATACCTACTTTATCTTAGAGCAATATGCTTATGCATCTCTCATTAAAGTTAACCTAAATTATACAGCAATTAAACCAAACTTGAATTCTAAGTTAACATATTTATATGAATATTAATTACTTTAATTCAGTTACACTTAATTTATTTTGAATGTGAATTTTAACTTAATTGAATTATTAATTTGAATAACAATGTCTACATAGGAATTCAAAGCAGTTTAACAAATCACTATAATTTCAGTTCTTCAGGACAAACTCTGAGAAAAGATGAGCTTGGGGTGAGGAGGTGTAGGGGAACACATTAAGCAAATGAACTGTGTATCCTGCTTAATTAAAAGAAAGTTATGCCCATTTAGTTCTGCAGGGCAGAATTTCGTGTCCATATGGAAAATCAGATTTTTAATTATAGTTGGCATTTCTGAACCTCCTGCTGGTTGCTACGTTCCTACTAAAAAAGTGACCTCATTCCTAAACTTGTCACTGTGAGAACTCTGTTATGAACTGCAAACAAGCTTCTATTTGTTTTAGAGTGGCTCACTAAAACTTCATTGTTCAAAATGTTTAAACAATATATTAAATCCTTAATGGAATGTGCTGCTTCTGATTTAAAAAACAGTCTTTTGGATTGCTGTCTTGTGGTAATTGGAGTGAAAAGTCAGGATTTCTGGATTTTGTTCTGGTATTGTCTAGACAATTTTATATTAAAAACTCATTAATTTAAACGGAAGTCCCACACAAAGATGTAATTTAAATCAAGCGCCACTTTCATGGCTGTGGATTCATAACTGCTCCAGCTCTAAAATGGATATCACCTATCTGCAAAATCTGGTGTTCTCACACTCTGCTGACACTGTACTTATTGACAACACCTCTCATAACAATTTACTTCCCTGCCTCTTAAAAGAAGGGAATACACTACTGCAGAACATGCAGATGAAAGGCACTAGATATACTCTATTACTGCTGGACACCACGATACACTCCAGCTACAGGGTTTGCCAAAGACAAGACACTGCCTACATCTCACCGGAACAGACTGCCAGGAAAGAAAAAACCACAACCAAACCACACACACCACATTTAAAAATGCTCATCCAAATATTCCTCCAAAAGATCAAGGAAAGTTTCATGTAAACATCACCATCTCTAAAATATTTTCTCCTCTGTGTTCATCGAGAGGAACTGTTGGCATGGTTCCCAGTAAAGTATTGTGCAAGTCATATATTTCTTTCGTAGAATCCTTTGGATTTAGAGAGATCAGACAAAAGCCATTTTCCTCCGAGTGTTCTCCACGAACAACACGCTATTTCTTGTCTCATAGTTTCTAAATTCCACCTTGTTCAATGAGTCGCACATCCCAAAGAACTGTCTCTGTCCTTTCTGCCAGGGACATACTCTCATTCGCTCTTCCTCATGTGTAACCTGATTTTTTTCTTGGCTTTTGGTTTGTATCCCCTTTCATCAACAACATGTTTTGGCTTCACACACCAAGACATACAGCTGCAATCAGTAAATCCCCAGGTCCCGGCTGCAGCCACCAGGTCAGACTCCTCTCTGCACAAGCTTCCATGAGTCTTAGCATGTGGAGCCTTGGGCAGCAATTATCAATCACTAGACTCCTTGGTCAGGGCAGAACTATTCAACACTTCCTTCTGTTCAAGACAGTCAGTACACCCATACTTTTTAGGAAGTGTAACAATAAAAATGGAAGACATAGGTGATGGCAGTAATTAGCACCATTCAGCTTCATGGTATTAACACAGAAAACACAAGCATATGAGTATTTAAAAGGAAATTTGGGGAAAAATAAACATGAAATAAATAAAGTTCAATTACATTACTCATAGAAACACTGTGGAGACAAATTATGTAATAGCTTTTCTGACCTTGCTCTACAGTTGCACTATGTGGAAGTAGCTACCTAATCGTAGCTACCTTTATTTTTGAAATGCAAAGAAGAATGAAGGACTGAATTCCCAGCTAAAATATAGAGTTCTCTTAGGGCCCAGTATCTCCATTCCATCTCATTGTATCTTACCTAGTAGGTTTGTAAGCCACAGGGCCAAGTCCTCTTTCATCGGCAGCAAGTTGGCCTCATGTCTACTTGCAAGCCACTGACTGTATTGATGCATATCAGAGAGGCCAGGCCCACGTGCCTTCGGGCTCAGAGCAGTACACATTGCTTATCCGCTTGCTGGACCTGTTTTATTATATGTATAAAAAAAAATAATTAAAAAAATTACTTCTTGATACCAAATCATGTTTTGCAGGTTCTCTTTTTTAGAGCTGTAGAAGATAACAGTAACTAAGATTCTAAGAGATCACGTGTCAGACCAACACACATGGATCTAACACATGAATATAAAATCAATGACTGAAGTTCAGTTTTGTTAATAGATCACACTGCAAGCAAATAAATCACACAGATAAATGTCAACTTCATTTGTACTTGCCAAACTACACACATAGCAAACATATAAGCAAATATTCTGCAAGGAATTATTACAATCAAATCAAAAGACAGATTTTACTCAAATCTAACAACTCGATACAGCGCCTCATCCAATATCCATTCAAAAAAAAATGGAAAGCTTCAGAGATTTTTGGATCTGGCCCAAGAAAAACCTGGGCACAACCAAGTCACACTACCATAGCGAACTTACTAACAGTTAACAAATGCCATTACCAAATGGAATCAGCCTATTCTACAGGTTCAGAATAATAAAGAAAAAAACCCCACCAAGCGTATTTACTGAATATCTTTATTTCTTCAGAAAGCAGCACAACCACTCGTGCTGGTTACCCACACTTCCCACTTCCATCTTCCATACAAATACTCCTCTGCTTCAATGACAACTCACTGAAACTAGTTTCAGGTAAGACAATATATCATGTGTTAAATTTTAGTTAAATCTTGTCTCGGCCAGAGACATCAGGCCCACTGAACCTGTACCTCTGCTCCTGAAGGACTGATTCCCCCATCTGTGGGAGAAGTGTGCTGAGAAAAGACAGTTATTTTCCTTCTTGCAAACAAACTCAGACATGGAGCCTAATGCTTGTATCAACGAGCAGAGATACTTTCTTGCCTGGTAGGCTGTATCCTGTTGAAAGCCCAGTCACATCAGCTAGCAGCTATAAGGTCTTATGTACATACGTAGGCACTAGACAGACATCAAAGTGGAGGTGGGAGGTCTGTGACAAATAGTCCTTTGACTATTGCCAACTGGCTGATCCACACCAACTGCAGTTACACATCAGCTGGCTTCAGTTTATGATATTTTGCAAAAACTCTTTTTTTCTGTCATTTACATACCTTTCAAGTCAGGTAAGAGGTAACAATGACTTTAAAAACAACAACAAAAAGGAAAAATTTGTTACACTATTTCATTGTGGCCTGGAATAACAAGATTACTGAAAATAATTCCTTTGCCAAAATAAAGGAAAATGTTTACTGAATGTAAAAAGCAATTGCCTTTCCATAAAATTATGCTGTAACTGACATTTCCAAACATATGAAATGCTATCTGGGGTATTTTAATACTTACATTTAAATACTCTGGCATTTTTTAACCATACCCTGGGTGACTCAACTCCTTGTTCAGAAAAGCATCTGCTTAAGCTCTTTTGGAGAGTACCCTCACCCCAAATCCTGAAGTCTGGCCTGCCCTTGAGATAGACACAGCTTTCATTATCAATATACTTCTTACTGAAAACAGACAACTTTTTCAGTTGGGGAGAGGGAAAAATAGACATAAACCCTCACCTTATTCCATTTTATAAATACATATTTTTGACTTATCAGTAGATTTTACATTTTTCTAACAAAACAATGTATCGAAGCTGCTTTGAAAGCAGAGGAGTTGAAGGCAGACTAAAGTAGGCAATTTTAGCATAGCTCATTTCTGAAAAATGACTTTGTAAAAATGTCAGCTTGGATTTATGGTTTCAGGGTTGATTAAATCCAAATCATACCTGTTCATCAGAGGTGGGGTGCAAGGAAGTAGAGGAATAAGAATCAGGCTGTTAGCTCTGCAAAAATCAATCTTGAATATTACTCTCAACATAGATTACTCCAGACTAGAAGATACTAATGTCAAAGGAATTATAATGACAGTATGTTTAAAGTTGCTCTGAGTCACTCTGAACCACACAATTTAGTGCTGCAAATCACTGCTTCATTTTGAATGGAAACAGAGGCAAGATGGATAATTGACACCACCTTGTCTTCAAAGATTATATGGGAAAAATCAAGTATAAATACCTCTGTCATATACTTTCTTCCCAGAAAAGAAAAGAAAAAGCCTTAAAATAAATTTTAGACTGATTCCTAGCGTCTATAAACTCCATTGATATGGTGAGAAACAGAACTCAAACTAGTTTATTCTCTTGCATCACCTCTAAAATGATTTCAGTAAAAAGTAATAAAAAACATTTCTCCTTCCTGAATGTTCACTTCATACACGATACACAAATAAAGCTAAGTAAAAATGTATTATTTTCTGGCATCACTTTTTCCATTTATTAGCACATACTTAAATACTTAGGAAACAAGAGCTTGCTATTTGTTTCTATTAACATACCAACTGCAACAATACACCTGGAAAAAGAAGCACCATTGTACTAAAGGAAACAGCCACTGCACCTCTTCACTGGGAATCATTTCACAGTTCATACATGCTCAGAGGAGGGGGTTAGTCTAGATGAACCCTGGAGATCCCTTCCAACCTAAATTATTCTGTAACTTTACGTTTCAAGGATGCACAGAGCAGTGTTTATCATGGGATTCACCAGGGTCTGTGCTGCTATGAGTATAACATACGGCACATACGCTGAGCTGCATTGTGTTAAGAGGAGAACTACAGAGACCACTTCCTTTTCTTTCACTTCAGGAAAGGTCCACCTACCTTACCACTTCCAAGACCACTTATATTAAGTGTTCTGTGAAATCTGGAAACTAATAATCAACAATATAATAACATGCCTGACAGCCAGCAAGATACGACACCTGCTGCTGCCACTGTTGGGGCTGAAGTAATTCTTAGCTCTGAAAGCTGCATTTCTTTAACACTAGGAGAAGAGAGAGGGAAGGCTTCTACAGAAGCTACACAGAGGCAGTTTGGGTTTCTCCATCAGGCTGTGAAACAAGCACTGCAGTCCATTTACACTTCAGGCTGATCTCTGTGGAGATACATAGCAGAGAATTCAGGGATTTGAGATGTAACTTCAGTTTGTCCCTAAAATATAGGGTTGTCTCTAGATACATTTCATACTGACCTACCTCTTGTTTCCTAAAACTCAGCAACCACGCTGTGTAAAGGTCTCAAGGAACTTTTGAGGCACACTGAAAGAAGAAAAATGGGAGAACAAGGAGTCCTGATTCCAGAGGATGTATAGGTGCTTCAGTTTTGTAGTCACTGTGGGACTAAGAAAAGAGATGATCCAGACAAGAAAGATATTCTGGGTTTAAGGTTCTTTCAATAGGGCATAGGTTCTTAGAATAGGAAGTTAGGAAAGATAAGGAAAGGCAGATAGGTGATAAAAATCTCTAGAAGCTGAAAATTATTCAGGTATCTCTACAGTGGGACTAAGTCCACTTGGAATAGTAGTCCTGAATTAACAACAATGTATGGGTTAATTTGTGAGGCAGGCATGCAAAGTGAGCACTGTGCAATAAGAGAGTTAGTGCTCATGAAGAGCCTCCACTGAGAAGAACCCTGAAGAATCACAGATGAGTCACATATAATCCAACTTTATCTCTGTGTAAGTTTTCATAATTTCATTTCTGAAAGTAATTAATTTTCCTGTTCCCTGATACTTCTCTGAAAACCTGCCCTACACTTAAGTAAAATACTTTGTTAGAATCAAAGCAACAAAACTTCTGCTTTGGATTTTTAAAATAAAATCTTTTTAAAAATAGCCTTCAAGGAGGAGAGCATCATTTGTTACCTGTAGCTCCTGTCACAAATTCTACAAGTCATACTGTGGGTCAAACTGCAGGCACCAGAAGCTATCAAACTCTTAATTACTCCTTAGGCAAACACTGACCACTACTTTACTGTTAAGTTCAACTTAAACCCCCACAAAACTTCAGTGCTGAAGTACCTAAGCCTCCTTAAAATGTTCATCTACTTCATCAACTGTAATAACTCATACATTGACTATTAGCACTTCATCACATACTAGCTGGGATCTGTGAAGAAGCTGAACTGAGTTGGTTAGGTGCAGGTCCCAGCAGTTGGGTACCGAGTTCCTTCAATACCCCTTTGAAGATTCTACCTGTAATCAAGGTCAGGTTCTTGTTTCTTCACTGAGATACCATCAACTCACCTCCATAAAACATCTTAACATATTTATTTTCTGGTGAGCTGGTGAAAAGGTTATTGACACTTTAGCAGTGAGGAATTTGGTCAGAGAAATGGATTAACTTGCCACAGAGGTAGACGGTAGCATTCAAGAATACATCACCACAGCTGAGGCAAGTCTCTGGCTCCAACAACTATTTCATTCTTTCCTTTTGGCAGACATAAGGTATGAACAAAGTAGCCAAAAAATATTGGTTTTCCTAATCTCACTACTTTCTAGCAGCAACATCAAGTCGTTATATATACAGCTCTATAAAACTAGCCAACACAAATATGTCAAACATTTTTCAGAATGTTACACTTCTACAAACTGTCGAGGCTGACATGATACACAGAAGCATTTTCAAAACTTACCTCTAAATGCTTTGTTCCTTAAAAAGCAACTTGTTCCCCCTACTACTCTGAATGCAGATGGGGAAAGGTCTTTAACTACTTTTCATTCTGTTTTGTTATAGGTCATATTTATGCAGCACAGCCTTTTTTTCCACCTCTCTCAGTAAGAGGATGACATCTCAAATTCTTAGACTTATTGTCTAGCTGAAGAATTCAGTGTGGGATAGTTTACAGTAGACCCAGCAACACGTAACAGATTCAAGACACTCAAAGGTTATATTTCTCTCTGCTTGCTTCTACTAAACAGTGAAGTTTTTATTTTGCTTTACAGTAGCACATTTAGTTTTCTGTGTATTGTAGCTCACTGCTTGTATTTTGCCAGCAGTGTAACTTACACTATCTGCTGATAGTTGTCAGTGATCATCAGGTGAAAGCAAAGAGAATCAAACAAGCAATCTTCTGTAATTCCATTGGCTTTTGTTGGG